TTAATCGTCTTTTTCCAGCAGGTTCCTAATTTTGTTTAAACAATATTTAAAGTTATCTAACTTTTGTTTAGAGCTGAAAAATGTATTTCAATTACTCAAAATACTTCGTACTTCATTGAATTCCGGGTAAGTGGTACCATATAAACAGCCCCTAATTGTGAAATATTTCACAATAACAATTCTCATTGACCTTTGACTTATTCCCAAGGTCACATTGTCTCTCATGAGGCATTTTAAGCCGTTTTCGCATTTACTCAATAATGTCACTTTAGATTTCAATAGTTTCACAGTTATAGCAGTGTTTATAGCAGTTTTGACAAGCTTTGATATGGATAGATTCACTGGTACCCTTGTGCTAGACATGTGAACAAGGTAGGTCTGTGACTGTACATGTTGGCTAACTCCATACTCTCTAGTTCTTCTGAAATTTATTTTTGTGCTGGCTCTGGTATGGAGCTGGTCTCCAAGGAGAATACGGTTCCCTCCCCCACTGGGATAAAAAATGTGGCTGGCAAAGGCTTTGTGTATTACCACTTTTACTGTGAGTAAGAACCGTTGTTGTTATTGAAATTGTTGTTAGGTACAGTGACACTTTGCATGACTTTTGATTTTCTGTACTGTGGCAGCTAAATCAGTGCCAAACAGAAGCCTTTCAACCCTATTATCTCCAGAGCAAGCTTGTTTAAAGTCATTGTGACGAAATGGCCTTATCAACTCTCTGCATTTAAAGGATAGCTCCTTAGAAACATGCCCAATCAGAGCAGTGGCATCTATCAATTTTAAAATGGCCATTTTCATGATTTTGCACGATAACATACAAAGAACTTGTTATGGCAGAAACATTGGTCTGTAATGTATCTTGTGAGTTTGCAAATTTAATATCTTTTTTTCCTGGTATGCCCTGGCATTTTAGACCACATTTCTGGGTTTACCTGTGGCACATATAGTTGCTCACAATTTTGAGGTCTTTGGTGTTTTTGAAGAATATTTTTCAATTTCCCAGGCTCTAGTTGTACAATAAAATTTTTTGTCTGTAATTTGGGTGAGTTTTTCATTTGTTGCTGAACCTGCGGCAGTTTCGAAAAGATCTTGCAAAATCACACTTAATAGATCATCTTCATTACCGGAGCTGGAATTTTCGGCTTCGCTCATGCTGCCGTCATGTGTACCTGGACATTTTGCAGAACGTACATTTTGCCTACAGACGTTTTGTGGACGGATGTTTTGCCAATGGACATTTTGCCGAATGGACAGTTTGCTGAACAGACAGTTTGCCGAAAGGACAACTTGCCGAAAACAGAGATGCTATTTCATCAAAATGTTTGGGACTGTGCCTCATTTCTTAACTTTGTTATTTGCAACTATTGTGTAAAATAACCATTACATGGTCCTTAGCAGTGTATAATGAGTCGTTAGCAGTGCACAACCATATTGAAAATTGGTAGCTTGTTTGTGGAGCAGATGACTAATTTGTTAGGAACGTGTTTTGACGTCAGATCGTAAACAAACAAGCATATACAAAGGCAACAACGTAAGCGAATTTCACTTCGAGAATCATGGAATACATTCACAGTTTTCAGGGAAATCGCATTCACCAATAATGTTGAATGATGGTTCTTTATATCGCAAAATTTGGGTAAACTTGTCAAAAACTTCGACAAAAATCGAGAATAACTTTAATCACAGAAATTTTCACTGTGTAAGTGACCCTTTATAGTTCAGAAGATACCTCTGTTTTCGGAAAACTGTCCATTTAACAAAATGTCCATTTGGCAAAACGTCCATCGGCAAAATGTTGTTTGGCAAAATGTCTTTCGGCAAAGTATCTCTTGGAAAAATGTCCGGTCACCTCCATCATGACCATATTTGGCTTCAAAGCCACCAAAAAGACTTAAAACATCGTCATTAATGACATTTTGTTGCCCTGACTTTGGGGTGTGTTTTGCCCTCTTTGTGGCAGATTCATTTCTGTCTTTGCCAGCTTCAGTTTCAAGGGCCCTCTTTGGGGCTTGTTGAGAACATGAGGTCGAATTGCCTTCCATCAATTCAACAAGTCTCAAAATAAGCGCATTGGTCTTTTCAATGCCATTTTGACTCAAAGACACGATCAATACAATATATTTTTCATGTGTTGTTGCTATATGTACAGGTTCAGAGGCCTCAACACTTGTATTTCATCAAGCAGTACAGTCTCATTGACTGACATGTTTATGGATTTTCGCTTGAGTAATCCCTAAAGAAAAGGAACACAAAACGACAAAATACTGTGATGAAATGTTGACCAGTTGAAATGTTGACTAAAGGGGATATATACGTCGTTGAAATCATGTTCCCTCTTCAGAAGATCAAAACCAGCAAGGATTTGTTTTAATTTTTTTGCTAGATCAAAGACTTAGAAGTCTAGTCTCCAAGGGAAGAAAGGCAAAATTTGTTCTCCATGAGATGTTGGCATTATCTTGAATCAATTCCGTACAACTCTGTAATGACCGTAGGCTGATGACATAGTACAATTGTGTTGGACGAAATAATATGTGTAAGGGGGTAGTCAATAATTATATAGTTCATATGGTGGTCCAGGTTTGATAGTTCATTAACTTGGGGTGAGTAATTTCCCTTCTGTTATGAGGTGGCTGTATTGGCAGGATTATCAGTTTTGTAACAGTTGTTTTGTGATTAAATGTGTGTATAGTATTTCAACTGCATCCAATTTACTTAAACTTAGTTTCAGTAAATTCAAAATTTGACAATAGCGATTATCGAACAATGCACAGTGTGTACATATTTTTTACCTGAGGAAAGCCTCAATAGCTAAGTCGTTAATGAGACAGCCAGGATTTAAACACTCAAGTTCAACTGGAATCAGGAGAAATTTTTACATGTATCTCTAGTTATCAGCTGTGGCTTGTACACACAAGTCTAATTTATCTTCTTCATTTTCTTCTTATAGATACTCAAACAGGAACATTCACTTTATACCAACACGATTTTGTTGCCACCAGTCTGATTATCTTTTGCCTGGTTTCTTCTTCTTAGCTATACAACCAAAATTCTCTAACTTCTGTTTCACTTGTTGTTCAGTGTTTTTTTTTGTTGTTTTTTTTCGTGACACACAAGGGTATATTCCTTCTTTGGAACTGACACACTTAACTTGGCAACCAGAATCTGGAGCTCTTTTGTCACATCAGTTCAAGATGTCTGTGTCTTGACTTTGCTAAGTGAGTGCTTTAAGTTGTTGCAATGTAGCTTCTGGTAATCTTTGCTGCATGTTTTGCAGGATCTTGGTTTATTTTTTATTTTTTTGTGGGAGTTGTGCCACAGCAGCTGGTTCTACCTATCTAAATTCCCAGGAAACTACTTCCAAAATTTCATAAACTTACCCATTTTATTCATCCATACATGCTACAAGAGGGCATTTTTGTCAGCACAATTTCATGATAAAATGTTTATACATTGCCTTTTTTCTCCGCCACATTTGTTTTTAAATTAGTTATGCTCTTACCCTGCCCAGTACACGAATTTGTGCAGATTGTAAAAATGTCAGACAATCTTACAATTAGTTGATTGCAGTAAAATAAAATGCCATCAGCAAATGGAGTTTCCTCTTCAGTATACTAAGCAGACCGACCGCACAGCAAAACAACTTACTTTTACCAAACAACTTTTACCCCAACTTTTTCTACAAACAACTTTTACCCCCAGCAACAAGAATGTGTACGGAAGAGTTATAAAGAACTTTCAGCGTCGTTGAAAGAAAGGTGTGAGGGTGGTCTTGCATTATTAAAATACAAGAAACTCTTTAATGGCAGTGCAGGAAGAGTGGAGAGACATTGCATTCCTATCTATCAGAGCTGAGATTAGCATATGAAAGGGCTTATAGTCCTCCCACGGTTGACCCCTTGCCTGAAGGAGCAAGTGCAGAGGTCAAAAACGAAAGATTTAAGCAAGAAGGAGTATTGGCATTCTATAATAAGAGAAAGAATGAGGATGTATTATGTCGCATGTATTTGCACATTCTGATTGGCTAGTTGGTTAGGAAATCTGTCGCATTATTTACCAATGACCGATTGAAATTGCCTTTGCAAAAAATTTCTTTGACCGATTACATGAAGTATTACACTTACATATTACCTTCTTAGCCTAGGCTAATTATCTAAAAACAATTGTGATATTACTTTCCTAAGTATGTTTATCCTAACCCACCCTGACAACTTTCCTTGTGGGAGGAAACCCATAACTTTCAGCAGAGAGTTGACAGACTCTTTTCACATGAGTCCATAGTGAGAATCAAACCCACATGCTGCTCTTTTACCAACATGCTGCTCTTTTACCCACATGCTGCTCTTTTACCCACATGCTGCTCGTGGCTGCTCTTTTATACACCATTTTGGACTTTATCAATCCAAACTTACAAAACATTCCAGTGGAACTTTACATGTATGCAGCTTCTCCAGAAGTGGAATGTTCCTGCTGGGAGCTCCAAAGACTTTGGATACAGCTGTAAAGTTTGGGGAGCTATTATTTGAAGACTGATGTGAAAAAAAATCAAACAAAAGGTATGTGGTAAAAGGGGATTGAGAGAATTACTGTGCTACCCCACCATTTGCGCAGACTGTCACAGATGAGGAGATTAAAACTATGGCTGATGCTCTCAAGAAGGCCGAGCGGGCATCACTGTTCTGTGAAACCCTTGAGTCAAATGCTTACAAGCCTTGTGACGTTTTTGAGACTTCATGCAGTCAGCAAAAAAGAAAACACCAACAGGATGAATCTCCCCCAGCCAGACACTAGAAAGCCTGTTGATTGAAAAATTATTTGAAAATGTCCCTAAAGATTATTATCACCCACCAGCAAATTATAACCAGCAACAGTTAGAACTTGTGGAAAGATCAGTTCGCTTAACAATATCTTCTGCAAAGCAGATTTGTTTACAGTACCAAAACCATTGCAATGGGGGCATTGATAATGAAATTAAGGCAATTCTAAAGTATGAAGTGGACATGATGAAAGGAGATGGTCTTCTCAGAAGTGGTGGGCTTGTACTAAGTCCAAAGTGGCCATGGCTGGGTTGCAGTCCAGATGGTGTTGTAGTAAAAGGTGGAGTTCCTGTTGGCTGTGTTAAAATTAAATGCCCATATGCAAGCAAAGATTTAAATATCTCTGAATCTGTACACAGCAGTACAAGATTCGTCCTAAAACAAACTGAAAATAGTTGGAAGCTTCAAGAAAAACATGCATATTACTACCAGTGTCAAGGTGTAGTAAACATTGACTTTGTGGTATATACTAATGTGGATATATGCATGTGGAGAGAATTCACAAAGATATTTCTTTGTGGGAAAATGTAATGCTCCCAGAACTGACATTCTATTTTTCTTTTATTTGTCCTCTAACCCATTGAGTTACTACTTGGTGATTTTACTTGGCAAGGGAGACACCTTGGTGTTGTGCCTTAACCCATTGACCTCCAGCGATTGCCTGTTGATAAGTAAAATTGTCTGGCATTAGACAGAGTAAAATAATAATGGGTTAAATGTGCTAGTGATTTACCTTTATCATTAATTTCATGATGTGTAATTATAGTAAATTATTTGTAAAATGACAATTTTGTTTATAAAAAGCAAATTGGTCTAATCAAACAACATATCTTTGCACAAGCAAGGGGGGGGGGGGGTTAATGAAGGCATGGCTTGATAGGCTAGGGGGTATTATTAATGATGAATTCATCCGAGATCAAGTCATTGAAAAAAGAGCTGTAAGTTATGTAAGTTATGCTAGTTGATCTTTAACAAGTGTGGAGAGACGATATAGCCACACTGAGAAAGAGGCTCTTGGTTTAGTTTGGGCGTGCGAAAGATTTCATGTTTATCTCTATGGGAGTAAGTTTGCGTTGATCATTGATCATAAGCCTTTGGAAGTCATTTATTCGAAGAATTCAACGCCACCAGCCAGGATACAAAGATGGGTGCTACATTTACAGTTGTATGATTTTACAGACACGTATAGACCTGGAATGCAGAACATTGCTGACACACTGTCCAGATTGACCATGAACACAAGGCCGACCATCGATGCAGAAGATTATATACGTTTTGTAGCAAAGAATGCAGTTCCAAATGCGATCACGATCCAAGAAGTGGAGAAAGAGCCAGACAAGGATCCAGAACTTTCCAAGGTTAGATCTTGTATATTGACTGATCATCAATGGGAATCAGTAGATGTAGCATATAGATCTGTTAGACAAGAAGTTAGTGTTTTGGGAAAGTTAATAATTTGTGGTATGCGCCTGGTGATTCCGAAGATATTACAGAAGAAGGTCCTGAATTTGGCACATGAGGGACACCAAGGAATCGTTAAGACCAGACAGTGTTTAAGAAGTAAAGTTGGGTGGCCAAATATTGATAAGGAGGCAGAAAAAGTATGTTGTACATGTCATGGATGTCAAGTGGTGCAATTACTTTCTCGCCCAGAACCAATGGTAAGAACGTGTTTACCAGAATCTCCATGGGAAATAATTGCGTGTGATTCACTTGGTCCAACAGACAATAATATTTAGACTCTAGCAGTATTGCTGTGTTGGTGTTGTGTACTCAGGTGAATATGATGTTTGTGATGTTCCTTTGAGTATCAATGGAACTAAACTCAGTTCTCAAATATCATTTCATTTTCATTTAAACTTTATTTAAAGAGGGGGAAAAGTCCTTTCTGCGCATGTGCTTAGCAGTTTGTTTATGTGGTCCCCACCGGAAATTGATTTTTGTTGTTGCCAGACTGTTTAGGGCTTGGCGCGCAGCGTATTGTTTATATTCGTATCCATCATGGCGGAACGCACTCCTTCCACATCGGGTGAATCGAATTTGCCATCGAGTACGAGCCATCGGAAGAAAGGCGCTAGCAGAAAAGAATATTTTGCGAATAGAGATGCTAGTAAAGTCTATCTATTAGATATATTTCCACGATGGAAAGAATTTAAAAAGGAAAGAAACATCCGAAGTGACAAGGATGTAGCTGAAATGTTGCTTGATGCATATCAGTCACAGATTCGATTGTGGTAAGATTTTACATGAATAGATAAAGTTTGTCTTTAGTAAACTTTTTTTCTTACTTTTATTATTATCTTATGTCATTTTCTTTTATATTTTCCTGCAGTGTGAGTGTGGATACCCAGACAGAACCAGAAGCCATGCCAACGACCCCTCTCGGAAGCATTCATGAGTCAGATGATTTTCTTTCGCCAGGTTAGCGCTTAGACCAAAAAGTTGTTAGTGTGTGAAGCATTCATGAGTCAGATGATTTTCTTTAGCCAGGTCAAACAATTGTCAGTGTGTTAAAATGCGTCAACGTGTTATTCTTATGCGCCTTATTTTTAAATTTTGTTTTTGCAGTGTTGACCTCAACACCTCTTATGCTTTCTGCTGGTACAGAAGCTATGCAGGCCGGGACAAGCAGTTTTCCATCGCCAAGTATGTTACTTGAAGAACAAGTATATATTTTTATAGTTTGATAAAATCAAGTGTAGTTTCCTAAACCTGATATCTATGAGATATAATGTGTAGATTGCACACAATGTATGGGTTAATAAACCAACAATATACTGTATCTACAATGATTTATCCACCCACTTTCTTGTATAGTTATTGCTTCACACACAAAGTCATTGCGTCGCTCAAGTAGAAGGAATCTTCTACCTGATAGTTCACCATTATCTGTCAAGTCTACAAGGTTTGGAAAGTGTTCTATTGAAAGTAGTTTCTGTAAACATTTATTCAAATACCCTGTCTACAAAAACTTGATAAATAGTTGTCCCAAAAAGTCGATATATTTTTCTTATGTATATATTCTATTTTTTAAATCAAATAGAAGTGCTATCATGGAGGATGTGACACTCACTGCAAGCGAGGGTGACGAAAGCTGTGATGATGACACAACCCTGACAGCTTCAACTGTGCTGGGCATGAATGAAAGTGTTGAGTATGTGATCATTTAATTATAACTGAAATTTTGCACATTGCAGAGTTTTATCTCTCTACTCCTTAGTGGTTTGATTAGAATACCTTATACCCAAATTTAAAGTAGTTCAGTTTAAACACATTTAATTCACAGTACACTTATAAATGTTCTATACCCATTTTAAACCAAATTGTAATTTTTGGCCTCACATGTTCATTTTAGATTGTCTCTGCTGGAAGTATCCATTGAGGATGACGTGTTCAATATATGGCCACAATGACGAAGTTCTGGCAGATGATGGAACTGAAGCAAGTGATAGCACCGACAACATACCTGTAATGACAGTACCTCCAGAGGAAGCTATTCAAATGGAGAAATGTATTGTTTTTACTGATACTCTCATGTCATTGCTGAAGGAATTGCATGGGAGAATCTGTAAACGACCTGGCTGTGATCGTGTCCTGGATTATCGCAAGACCTATGTTGGTACATGCCTTGTTGTTTCCTGGGGATGCAGTGCTGGTCATAAAGGAAGCAGATGGGCAGCTCAACCCAGTTGTGATAAGATAAGAGCTGGGAATCTCATGCTTGCTTCTGCTTTGTTGTTGTCTGGAAACTCGTATACTAAAGTGGGGTTAATGTTCAGATTCTGTAACTTGCAGTATTTTTCTAAAACACTGTTTACTCAGTACCAGAGTCTGTACATTTCCCCTGCTGTGAATGAGTTCTGGGAACAACACAAGCAGGAGCTTTGGGAGGAAAAGGCTGGGAAAGATGTTGTGCTAAGCGGTGATGGAAGGAATGATTCTCCTGGGCATTCAGCACAATACTGCACATACAGTCTAGCTGACATGGAAGATCATGCCATATTGCAAATGAACATCATGGATGTTAGGGAAGCTGCTGGAAAGAGCAACAATATGGAACGGATTGGTTTCGAGAGAGGGATGGATAAGCTGCTTACATCACAGATGTCAGTAAAGGAAGTTGTAACTGATGGTCACTTAGAAATTGCAGCACTTATGAGTAAGTACCTATGCATAAGACTGTTTAACCCATTGAGCTACAATGTGCCTGCGCCCTACTTATTTTTTTTACTTGTCTAACACCAGACGATTTTACTCATCAATGGAGAAGCTCTGTAGCTTAATGAGTTAAATAAAATATTTCCCCAGCTGTGAGATGTACCCAGCCCTATATACATATAGCAATAAAGAACAATATGCCCAGCCAATTTGAAAAAAAAAATGAGATGAAATTATTTCTAGTAACTATTAACTACTGTACTTCATGTGTGTTCATTTCTTAGAAAAAGCAGACAAGTATAAAGATGTGAAACATCAAAATGATGTGTGGCATGGAGGAAAGTCACTAGCAAAGAAGATCAATACAGTACGTTTGTGTACAGTATAAATGTAAAAATTGATCACAATATTTGAAATTTGAACATCATAGGAAGTTTCCTACCAAATTAGTGCAAGTTGGTGCTGATAAGGTTGTCGCAAGGTTTGCGAGTCACTACATAAAAAACATGTTTGGAATGAATATTTTGATTAGCTATCATCAGCATGACTGATCAAATAAATTGTTCACAAATATGTGTGTGTGGGTGACAGAATTTCAGAAACAAGATTCAGAAACTTCGTCCCAAAGCTTTGCAGCAAAGTTTAGAATTATCAAACAAAATTCAGAAATTTTGTACCGGTATGTCATGTTTTGCGAATCATATAAAGTACAGTAATATACATTGTATATTCATCATTAGGCATCCAAAACCAAAGCAAATGAAGACCTGGCATTGTGGGCACCATCTGTCCGAAACCATTTTTGGTATTGCTCAAAACACTGTGATAAAGATGTCAAGAATATAAAGGTAAGGGTGAAAAATCAGTATTTAGCAACATAAACATGTTGCTAAATATTTACAGTATAAATCACTATTGTTTTAGAACAAATTCAGGGATTACATTATCTATTGGATTTAGATACTAGAGATTTTATACCATGCAGAATAAATTATAACATAGAGTTTTTCATTATCTACATTATGTCTCTTCTGTATCTGTATTTCCATTTTTTTTTTCATTTTTGCAAAGTGTGAAAATTATCTAGTATCCATTGGATTAGAGATTTTTGGCCTTTTTACCATAGCCCTATGTCCATCAGTATTTTGTAACTTGTAACAAATATGTATGTTCCTACTTATAGGATAAGTGGATCAGTATATTGCATCACGTTGTAAATGAACATGAGTGGATTGTGGAAGAAGGAAATAATGGTGCAAAATGCGATCATGATCAACTGAGTGACGATGATAGAAACAAGCCTTGGTTGAAGAAAGGGTCTCCGGCGCACAAATCTTTGACAAAGATTGTCTTAGACAAACGATTCCTGAATACTTTGGGATATTACACACACTTCAGGTATACACTGATGTAAATATTTTATGTGAAACTATGGTAGTAGATACAGTTATAGTACTGTAGTATGCAATACCACAATGATTATGAACACATATTTCTCATACTCGTTCATCTACAGGCACACAGGTTTCTTGGAGTCATTCCATAATCATATCTTGATGTATGCTCCCAAGCGTCAATCTTATACGTATGTATTATGATCTTGTCTAAGCGAGATCTCGTTATGCAGTTATTTTTATAGTTACAATTACTGTGCGTTTAATGGGACAGGCAGGCTGGCCCAGTTGTCGAGATCTCACTTGAAACAGGTGAGATCCCGCTTACCAGGAAGCAAATGTCTCCATGTCAACACTCAAGCAGGCTGGCCTGGTTGACAAGATGAAGTTCAAAGATGACGCCGCAAGCTATCTTAAACTGTCAAAAACAATGTGAGAACAGCTAAATTGTCTCGGCAAGCGGGATGGAATTTGCTCATATAAACACATGAGAAATCCATACCGCTTACTGGGCTATCTCAGTAAGCAGGCCAGCCAGGATTATGGATATAAACAGCCCTTAGTAATACTGTAACACAGAGAAATGGGCAGTTATAATCATAGTGTATTTATAGATGTCATTAATTTTGATCTGTAGGTTTGTTGGGTATCGAGTCCGAAACCAGTTGGCAGCACTAGATTGGAATCACCACAGGGAAAGAGACATAGCAACCACAGCAGATGGTCAACCAAGGTATTCCGTATAGTGTAAAGTACATGTACCATACTACCTTGTATCACGTTTGTAGAATATTAACCCATTGAGTTGCATAGCACCTTACTTTATTTTATCTGGCGTTTTCTGCTCAAGTTTTTCTATTTCGGCCAAAACAATGAGCAAATTGCAGATTGTGGTACTGTTAATTTTAAGCCTTAATATATGGTGGTCAAGCAATTAAAACTATATTCTATTAGGATGGAACGCAAGTTCAGCAAGAGAACAAAACAGTGGTGTGCAGTAAAAGTGTTGCAGCCAAAACAATATATGTACATTCCCGATCTTCTGCTGAAGATATTTGAAAAGAGAGCCACTACGGAAGGAGGTGTCAGCCGAAAAGTTGGTATCCTGGATGAAGATCCAAGACGAATTGCACCAAATATCTCTGTGATCCCTCCTCCTTCAGTACAATCACTTGTGGAATCACACCAATCACGATTTTAATCTTTGTAATATAAAAATAATAAGTTATTCACACCGGGCTTTAGTAGCTTCATTATAGTATTCATGGCAAATAACAACGGTATCCAATAACTTTACTAACTACAGTAAGACGCGGGGTATAAGAACCTACATTTTAAGAACCAGTTAGGCTAAAATTGCGTATTCAGACCCCCTTTATATAAGAACCTGTTTATAGGCTAAATTTTCTAACAGGTTCATAAACTCTACGAGTTGAAACTAAAAGCTCTTCACAAATGTTAATGAAAATGACCAAGAAGTCAGAATCCTGGATATGTCATGACATATAATAAACAACATGTCTTTTTATTGAACACATAAAAAAAATAACTGTACCTACACCAACCGAAAATGAGTCCCTTTTTCTTAGACAACAAGAACCTGTTTAACCTAATTTTGCGATAAGCACCATTTATATAATAAACTGTTTAGGCTAACTTGAAAAATCTAGGTTCTTATATGCAGGGTCTTACTGTATTGCAACTATAAGACATAACTATTTACAATCTAGCAGGTCTATAACCTGTATAAATTCCATTGGGAGAAGGGTAACGTGCTCGTATGGCTGTCACACAACAGCTAGGCACAACCCTTCTATTCCCTTTTCCTAAATGTCCATGTTGCCAAAGGACAAACTGTCTATATGCAGCATGGCGAAAATTCTCATTGTTTCTGGCGTTGTCCAAAACCAAAACATCTTCCCTATATCGCATGGCAATATCCAAGACATTGGCATCTAAAACAAGCTGTTGAAACAACGGTGTTGTTGTAATGCATGCTCGTCTCGATCTTGTGCAGCATTTATTTTCTTCTTGTGTTGGCATTATTACACAATGCCCACACCTACACCACTCTGGAACATTTTCCTCAGGAGGGGGATCTGGTGGATCAACTCCCATCTCCTGCAGGAATTTCCCCATTGACCAGATCAGCATAAGCTGCTGGCTGCCTCCTTAGAAGCTCTAAGGCCAACCTTCTAAGTTGGTCGACATTCAAGCCATCTACAAGATTCTGCAATAAAGGATAATTTTTCTATAATTATGCACCCATTATTTACTTGTGACTTAGGGGACAACATTGGAACTTGGGGGAGGAAAAATAAAACAATGTCAAATTTAAATGGCAGGCCACTTTATAACATTTAACCTGCATGACATGGTCTGTTTCATGTTGAAATGGTCTCAAGTATAGATTTTATGGTTAAAAAATTTTGTATGAAGTAGAAAGGGCCTCTTTGAATGATTAGATGCATGTGTATATAAACATTGGATTTATGGAATGTTTTGGTACACTGTTTGGTGTTAGTTGGTGAACAATTTTGTGGTACTGAGGGTGAATTTGACTCTTTGCACAAGGCTTTCTTAGCCAGGGACGTTTACTTACAATATATTCAAGCCTATTGCTTCAATTCCCATGTACCAGTAACCAAATATTAGTTTAGTAAATTCAATTCAAAATGGAATTATTATTTAACTTTGAAAGATTGTATGACCAGTTTTCAGCCATTGTTCAACCATCCTTTATCTGGCCAAATATTGACAAGCACAATATACCAATATTAAATGATCTTACCACTATTTGTTCCTCATGGTTGGCTTGATTCTGCTCAGAATCCTCTTCAGGCTGAAGTTGGCGTCTTGTCCCTCCACTGGAACTTCCTGCAGCTTGACCCCTGCCTCGTCCACGTCCTCTGCCCTGTCCTCTGCCACGTCCTCTACCACGTCCTCTACCACGTCCTCTGCCACGTCCTCTGCCACGTCCTCTGCCACGTCCTCTGCCACGTCCTCTGCCACGTCCTCTGCCACGTCCTCTGCCACGTCCTTTCTTTGTAGGGATTTCATCTCCTTGAAGAGAGAAGTCGGAGTCCTAAAAGATAATGACACTCTGTAATCTGATTTTATTTAAATGTAAAACCGCTTATAAATTTTTGATTTTATACTGTAGGCTACAAGCATAGTACTAAAATACATTGATATTCAAATTTGAAAAAGTAAAGTAAAACTCTCAAATATGTTGGTTTTTAAATAGCTACCGAATTCGACCAGAAAATGGCGTCCGATTGCAAGTTAGCCCATTTATTACATAAAATTTTTGACACAAGTATGAAGTATCTATAGTATAAAATATCTTTTTGTTGGTTACTTGTGTGAGTAGAACAGATATTTTCTGACTATTTAATGTGGTCAGATTTGTACCAAAGACTTGCATTAATTTAAAATTGTGATAAAAATATCGTCACATGTCGGAAACGATTCGGCAATGAGCCAATTTGCATATACGCACCACAAATTTGTTTCAAGGTTACAAAAATATATACTTGCAAAGGATTGTTACACCAAATCAAATGAGATTAAAGTCAAATCTTACCGTTGTATCATCTGACTCTTCGCTGTCGCTTTCCTGGAGTCTTGGGTTGTTCATGCAAGACAATAAATCGCCGCCATGACACGCGTTCGAACAATACTTATCCATGCTTTTACATGGACAGAAGTTTCTTCCATTTTCACGCAGGCAACAATAACGGCCACGGCATTGGCATGTTGTAATATTGTCAACGTTTGGTAATCTCGCAAGCTCCTCTATTTGACTTATTTCTAAGTCTTCCAGCGAGAAGCTTTCTTCAAGTGTGTCAGCCATATGCAAATTGAAAATAGTCAAAGAGATAGTGTTACTATACTGGTATACTTCATGTTATGCTAATAATGCGGTTCAAAACAAAAACATAAACAAACTTCGCACATGCGCAGAAGGGACTTTTCCCCCTCTTTAACGAGGCTAACACATAATAGCTTTACAACTAATAAACTTGTGGCCCTCACGATATGCTATGTAACAACAGTAAAACAACTATAGAGCATGCTATCTACATATATGATATAGTGTCTATAAAAGATTATCTAAAAATGGATTAAAAACCTTATCGTTAAGTTGATTGGTCTTAAGTTTCCAGTATAATTCATTCTTAAAAATATAAATGGAATTACAGGTTGGTAACTTAGAGGTAGGTAGTTCCAGCATTTGGCTGTAGTTACCGAAAAAGTACACCCTCCTTCTTTAACTCTGTTATACATCGGTGGCAAAATTGTATAAAGAGCACTGCAAGTGTTTCTTTTATGTTGATCACCGTTCAATATCAACAGATCCTTAATGTAATCTGGACAGGTATCAGCTGTCCTTTTATATGCCACGAGACAACGTTTAACATCAGCCTCAACATAAAAAGGTACCCCAACCTAGAGTGTTGAACAAGTCGATACTGCTGTGTCAGCATGAAAATCATATCAATGTTCTCTTTACTACAGCATCCTGACCAAGATACACTGCCATAGAGTATAAGGGGACCTGCTAAACGGAGAGTTATGAAGTGGAGAGTTATCTCAGAGAGTTATGATTTCGGAGAGTTATGTTCAAACCACGCCCACTTTTCCCAACGACCACACCCAATTTTTTAACTCTCCCGACGTTTCCTTGAACTAACATGAGAGAGTTATGTTTGACGTAACTCTCTCTCGTTAACATTATGAAGATGTTAGAGAGTTAACATTTTTTATAACTCTCCGCGTTCATGGTTGTGGCAATGAAGAGAGTTAAGTCAGTTTTTTGAAAAAAACTTACACATATTAGTAAATTTTTGTAAATTTATTTTTTTCTCAAGTGTCAGCTTTAACATCTCACGCTAGTAGAAACTAATAGTACATTAGTACTTACAAAGTTCATCTATATGTAAATGTTTTATATAAAGCAATTATCCAATCTTGAGTAAGAAATTAGTCACGTACATACGTCTTTATACCAGCTAAAGAACACTTTAACAAAAGACCATTGTTATGCAAACTATATAAAGATTTTTATATAAAGATTTTACTTATTATGCATACCTTTTTGAAGCCATTTAAAAAACTCACAGGTCGTGTTTTATTAGGTCTAAAGCCACTCGCGCTGCACGTGAGCTTTAAACCTAATAAAACACTCCTGCTCGTTTTTTAAATAATACATATACATGCTCACTTAGATTATCTAGCAAGACCAGCATTCAGATACATATTAGATAGAACCAGAAAATCTTTCCAATGTAATGCCCTATTGGCTGATCTGGGAAAGTATTTCCAAAACCTGAATTGCTGAAAGATTCAATTTTCTTAATTTTCTTGCAACTATGCTTGCCGTATTCACTGCCAAATACACGTCAAAACATGCTTCTGGGGGTACTTTGACCCTTCTGTTTTGACCGAGTCAAGTTGTTTTGACAGAGTCAGGTTGTATTTTGACACGCTAGAAACTGAAATACCAAAATATAAGATGAAAATCTGAAGAAACAAACTTTACTAAGGTTTTCTCAAAAAACTGACTTAACTCTATTCATTGCCATAATCGTGAACACAGAGAGTTATAAAATATGATAACTCTCTAACATCTTCATAATGTTAACAAGAGAGAGTTACGTCAAACATAACTCTCTCATGTTAGTTCAAGGAACGTCGGGAGAGTTAAGAAATTGGGTGTGGTCGGTGGGAAAAGTGGGCGTGGTTTGAACATAACTCTCCGGTTGGTAACTCTCCCTTTAGTCATACCCGAGTATAAGTGGTTTAATCATGGAATTGTAATATAATTCACGCTCGGATTACACATGCTCAGATTCCAATACGCTTAGAAAGCTTCTTACATAACAACTCAATATGAGATGCGAAACTTAGTTTCTCATCAAACTCAAGGCCCAATAGTTTAAAGTGGGTCCACTTGTTCTAAACGCTTTCCTTCCAATTGAATATCAAGTATATGGTCAGTTTGACTTAATCGATTCCGTTATCGTGAACCATCAATTAGAATCATTCTTGTTTTGTACCCATTAAGTAGAAGATGATTAGATTTAGCCCACTCATTGCCATTGGAGACCTTGTGGTATATCACATACTCGAACCGACCTGACTGCATAGCTCAGTTGGCAGAGCATTGGGCTAGTATTCCAAAGGTTGTAGGTTCGATTCCCACCGTGGCCAGGCACATTTTTCAAGCTTGCCCAGTGTGGATACACACTCAGAGTAACATCACAAACATCATATTCACATGAGTACACAACACCAACACAGCAATTCATGATTATTAGATTACATTGATATCAATGGAACTAGACTACAATAGTAGAATAGTAAAAAATGTCAGCAGCAAACATTTAAGACCAATTTCCCTCACGCCAATACTTTCTAAAGTTGCTGAGGACAATTTGGCTCAATTCCAAAATCATTGACAACCCAAGCTTTGATCAGCATGATATGCACATGGAGCAAGTATACGGACAGAACCGGCTCTAAGTCAGAGTGGTTGTTTTCGATTTCAGGAAAGCTTTCAACCTGATCGATCACAATATATTGGTTTGGAAACTAAAACATCTAAATATACCCCATAACATCGCCAGTTGGATCGTTGATTTCTTGAAATGCCGCAAACAAAGGGTAAAATTGTCACAGGACTGTAAATCGGAATGGAAAAATGTGCCGGCAGGAGTTCCCCAAGGAACAAAGTTAGGGCCTTGGTTGTTCATGTTGATGATTGGCGACATAGACACCACCAATACCGACTTGTGGAAATATGTGGACGATACCACAGCTGCTGAGACGGTAGAAAAAGGAGAGACAAGCAAGATCCAGAATATGGTAAATGAACTAACGGGAAAAGCGTATAAGAACAAATTCCAGTTTAATGAGAACAAAGGCAAAGAGCTTTGGATCTCTTTTACAAAAAATCACCCTGAATACGCACCTATTGTTATCAATGATAAACCAATAGAAATTGTGACTACCATCAAATTACTGGGTCTGAACATTTCCAATAATCTTAAATGCAACTATCATATAGAGGAAATTGTTAAAAAAGCTTCCACCCAGTTGTATTTCCTGAGGCAACTAAAACGTGCCAAAGTTCACCCTATAACCAAATGCGCTTGTCCTGTTTTCCACAACGGATTACCCACATATCTGTCAGATGAATTAGAATGTATCCAAAAATGTGCAATGCAAATCATATTCCCAAACATTAATTATCAGGACGCACTGAAGAACAGTAACTTATTGTCTTCATACGAAAGAAGAGAATACCTAACGAATAAAGTCTTTGAAGAAATATGTTCTGATCCCCAACCATAAACTGCATTATCTGGTGCCGAAACTAAACAAAACTGATGTTGAACTAAGGAATAGATGCATGTTTAACTTTCCTGTGTGGAAAAGAAACAGACTAAAAAATAGTTTTATATTTACTAATTCAGGTAGGAAAACTTTTTAATCCTAGTTTATATATACTTGTTGGATATTACATGTAAAATTAGCTTATCACTATTTAATCACTTTTAACTTTTATATTATGTAAATTTATATACAATTCAGCCATTTTGGCTGCAATGATATATCCTAATAAACTATCCATCCATCCATCCATCCATCCATCCATCCATCCATCCACAAGCAAATGCTGAAATTGAAAGACAGATGAGAAATCCAAATAAAGTAATTAAAATTTCTTATGCGCAAGGAGGAAATTTAGAGGAGGAACTTAACAAATTCCTAACAGCGTATCATACAACACCTCATGGGACTACTGGAAAAGCCCCAGATGAGATGTTATTCAAGAGATGTCTTCGCACAAAGATACCTGAATTGGTTCCTTTTGATAAATGTGATGAAGAAGTATGTGATAGGGATGCAGTTTCAAACAGAAAGGAAAGGAATATGCGGATGACAAGAAGAATGCAAAATATCCTGACCTAAAAGTTAATGATAAGGTTTTACTACAGCAGCGTAAAGCATGTAAGACAACAACTATGTATGAACATGATCCTTCAGGTGACGATCAAATCAGGTGAAGGTGTTTGCTACAAGTGTGTTATCATCTTTATTATTAGGGTCAATTAATCATATATTACAAAGAAAACATATAAAATATCAATATAGACCAAATGGGCAAAGGTATAAACAGGACTCAAAGAACCATGCAAGATACCTTCCCAAATATTATTAAAACTAATTTGTATGACATTAGACACACAGGACACAACTCTACATACACCTAGTGCACCACAATTTACGTCCTACGGCACGAACAGTCACGAAACAAGCACCACATACATGACAAGTCAACATCATAAATAGAATCAACAATACTAAAGTATCTACGTTTAACTAAACATTTGAAAGAACTAGACAGTGTCCAAACATACATATTTACATACAATGTTCCACAGTTTGACAACACGATTATAGTACGAAGATTGAAAAGTGCTTGTTCTACAAATTTGACTTTGTAGAATGTACTTTGAGGTGTTACTCATCCGAATTCGACCGTAACTGACAAACGAGACAGTCACAGACATCAACATTCTTCACATAACCAAACAAAGTCTTGTACAGATACACCAAGTCCTTGACCTCCCTGTCGAAGGTTAATGGCAGAAGGTTCAAGGCCAACTGACGTTCTTTGTAACTGAGCTCTCCTCTTCTGCTCATCATGATCCATTGCATCGCCTGACGTTCCACTCTTTCAATCTGCTTTGAGAGTTGGATGTTATTTACGGACGACCAAACTTCTGTTGCATAGCGTAATTGCAATTTCACATGAGTCAAATAAAGAGTTCACCTGGCTTTCATGTCTGTCAGTTGAGTACATGTTCATTTCAGTACACCTAACATTTTGTTAGCCTTGGAGATGACACAATTGATTTGAAGTTCCCATGAAAGTCCGGAGGAAGTGATGACGCCAAGATCCTTTTCACTGTCAACTCAAATCAGACTTTCTGTTCCCAGTTTGTAATCATAAGTGACTGGAGTTTTCTTGTGTCCAATGGTGAGTACTTTGCATTTAGAAGAATTGAAACGGATGTTGTTTTGTATACTCCAGCAATTCAGATTTGTCAATCATTGTTGTAAACATTTGCAGTCATCAGTAGAGGTAATTGTATTGTGCAATTTAGTATCGTCAGCATACAGGGCTGTTGCAGTTCCATTTTGCACAACATCTGGGAGATTGTTAATGAAGATGACAAACAATAACGGACGAGAATACTTCCTTGAAGTACTCCAGAGGTGACTGGTGACCATGCCGAAGCCACACCATCTACAACGACTCTCTGAGTCCTACCATTCAAATAGTCTGCGAACCAACCCAAAACTGACCCTGTCACACTGTAACCACATAGTTTCTTGAGAACGATTGCATGATTCACAGAGTCGAAAGCCTTAGCGAAATCCAGATACGAGACGTCTGTTTGAATATTCTTATCTAGATCATGTCCAATAGTGTGGAATACTGATAGCAGTTGAGTCACACACAAATGCTTTCAAAGAAAGCCATGTTGAGCTCGGCTAATGTGATGTAGAATGTGGTCGTGAAACCAGACGTAGACACAGCATTCCTTTTCCACTGGCTCCTTCGAATCTTTCTTATGGATCGGTGCAACGTCTGCCGATTTCCACTCTGAAGGAATCCGACTACATTGTACAGAGAGGTTAAAGAGAGAACAAAGACTCAGATGTGCAGGAATTCCGTTGGGACCACTTGCTTTGGATGTATCAAGATTTCTTAGGCAATTAGCGACCTCGTGTTCACTAAGCTCTATCTCCCGTAAGTAGTGTCAATGAGGGGCTACGAGGACAAACTTCATGTAATACAAAATATAGTGTCTTCAGCCCTTTAGCCCCTTAGCCCCTTTAATCCCATCCCCAAGACTTTCCAGGATTCGTCCCCAAGACTTTCCCGTGATTTTCCAAAGATTCGTTCCCAAGACTTTCCAGGATTCGTCCCCAAGACTTTCCCAAGATTTTCCAAAGATTCGTCCCCGGGACCTTTCCAAGATCGTCCCCAAGATTTCCCAAGACTTTTCCAAGACTTTCCCAAGATCGTCCCCAAGACTTTCCTGGGATTCGTTCCCCGAGTGAACCCGTAACACCTTATATGAATAAAAAAATCTATAATAAAGGAAAATGTCAATCACCAAAGTCTTGGACTTCACCAAGGCCTTTTTCGGTTTCGAAGATGCCGTCGCAAACAGGTACGGGAGTAGTGTCAATGAAGGGCTACAAGGACAAACTTCATGTAATACAAAATATAGTGTCTTCAGTCCTTTAGCCCCTTTAATCCCATCCCCAAGACTTTCCAGGATTCGTCCCCAAGACTTTCCCGTGATTTTCCAAAGATTCGTTCCCAAGACTTTCCAGGATTCGTCCCCAAGACTTTCCCAAGATTTTCCAAAGATTCGTCCCCGGGACCTTTCCAAGATCGTCCCCAAGATTTCCCAAGACTTTCCAGGATTCGTTCCCAAGATCGTCCCCAAGACTTTCCTGGGATTCGTTCCCCGAGTGAACCCGTAACACCTTATATGAATAAAAAAATCTATAATAAAGGAAAATGTCAATCACCAAAGTCTCGGACTTCACCAAGGACTTGTTCGGTTTCGAAGATGCCGTCACGAACAGGTACGGGTCTAAAAAGATTAAATTAACGGCATGCGATCAAGGTCCTCTTTTGTTAAAGGTTACAGATTGCTTATCTTACGGAGTGAGTAAGAACAACAAGTACGGTAAGGAAAATCTTTCCGTTTCCCTATCCCTCTGGGAAAAGTCCGGGTTTGTATCCGTTTTGGAATTAATTGAAAAAGAATGTGCCAAACATATCGGTAAACCTGGGGAGAAGATAATGAAATGTCATTATCGAAAAGGTAACACTCCGGTCTTGTATCCGAAGATCGATGACGAAACAGAGATGTACGAACCGAAGGGAGACGATCCCATCGATCGTGGAAAATATTTGGAGAAGAGATTTCGTCTCGATGCGATCGTTCGAATCGATGGAATCTTTATATCCGGAAGTACGACCTGTATTCAGGTCAAATTATACGAAGCCAGTATTCTGTAAGAAAAACCAAAGGTTCTGAGAAAAAGACTTTTACGAGATTGAAATTAATTTTTAATGAAAAAAAAACATTAAAAATTCCATTAAATAAAAGAGTGAATCCAGCAACAACGGTACTTTTTCAGAATCAAGAAAAATTCAAACCTCGTACCTATTTATACGAATGAAAAACCTAGTAATAAAGGAAAATGTCGGGTCAAGGGACTTACAACAACCTGTCGGTAAACGTGTCGAAAATAATCTATGGGTACAGACTTATTTTTGGATGTGATAATATAGGTGAGTTCGGCGATAAGCACCTAGTCTTACTCACGAGACTTGTCGGATCCGAGAACATTTTAAAGGGTCCGTTTGGTGGACTTAGAATAGTAAGAAAAAGTCTACCGATTCTCGACAAGATGATGGATGACATTGCATCCGAACGGAAGGAAGGAAGATAGTGAACGGTACAGGATCGGAAGCGTATAGGTGGGGAGTCGATATTAGGAAAGAGGAAGCGAGAAGATATAGGGAAGTCGAAGATTGGGGACGTGGTATTGCTGAATGGAAGGGCTTTTACTTTGTACAGAAGGAAAAGCATTTGTGGAAGGAAAGGGAGGAAAGGAGGAGGAGCGAACAGATAAGGAAAGGACAGAAATGGTGTACAATTTCATCCGAACGATCGGAACATGTATGGGGTGGAATACCACCGTGGGGCCCACAAAAGTCGGAGGTAAAGGTGGTTGGTGATGATGGTAGTGTGTGTTATATATCGAACCCGGACTTTATACCAGGATTTAGAGATTGATTTTTTTTTAATCAACACCTTATAGAAATAAAAGAGTACAAAGAAAAAAGATCGTAAAAATCCGGAACCCAAGTTACTTGCCATTTTTTCCATACTCGTTCGGAGTATGAAAAATCTTTTTTTTTATCTATATATGAATATATGAGTATAATAAAAAGATGGCAAGTAACAATCCGGATTTTTACGATCGACCGCGACCGGAAGGTTTTAGGTCGGTTCGTGAGGAAATTAGCGCTCCTCCTCCTGTTACACAAAGACCGCAGAGTTTTAGAAAAAGTATAAAGTCTGCAGCGAAAGAATTTGAGGATCGTCGGAAACAGCATAGGAAGGAAGAAAAGGCGATGGAAACCGACCAAAAGAGCGACGGCACAGAAATTTAGCGACGAAAAAAAATGGGAAAGACATATTGAGAAAGAGGAGAAAAGACTTCGTAAGGAAGTATTTCATTGGAAATCCGAAGCTGAGAAATGGAAGAAGGAAACACAAAGACTTCGTAAAAATTAAAGGGCACGTCAAAAATATGCAGAAGTTCGTTACCGTAAATTAATGTCGGGCGAGATGAGAATTCGCGGCGAAGATTTCACACCTGTCTTGGAACAGCATGCATTTAGGAGGCGTTCGAAGATGTATACGATCACACAAAAAAAGATATACGATCCGCCTTATTTTTTAGGTATGACCGGTCGTCATGTTTGTGATCTCGTAGATTCGATCGACGGATCGAAAATGTACGAGTGACTTTAGTTTGTACTATGAAACAAAAGAACGAGATTACGGGAGAAGTAAAGAGGGATACGTCTGGTTTTTCATCGAAAACTCATGAGATTACGGGACGAAGTTTAAGAGGTGATATTTGGGACGAGATGCAAGAAAAGATATTAGAATCTTTTGCAAAATATCAGAAAAACGGTAGTAAGTGGGTGTTGGACAAAATAGTTCGGTTAGAGATTGAGATCAGCGAATATGATCCGGTTCGTGGTTCTAAGTTTATTGAATTACCGAAAGGATATACAAAAAATAAGGGAATCATCAACATGAAAAATACCGACAACCAATGCTTCAAATGTGCGGTGACACGTGCATTGAATCCTGCGGAAAGACATCCCGAACGAATTACAAAAATTCTTCGTCTTCAGGCGGAGAAATTAAATTGGGACGGTATAAATTTTCCAACTGGGAAAAAAGATATTATAAAATTCGAAAGACAAAATTCCGGTGTTCACGTTAACGAGTCGTTGAAAATTTATCCATGGTATATTTCAGGAAGTCCGGATTCGATCAACTTGGTATTATGGGACGAACATTTTGGTGTCGTCACGGATTTATCAAAATTTATGGGAAAACAGTTAAGTAAGCATAAATGTAAAAAACACATTTGTAACAATTGTTTAAATCCATTCGGATCTAAAAAGTTACTGGAAGAACATCGAGAGTTATGTTTGGATCACGAAGCACAAACATGTCTGTATCCGAAAAAGGATAGCATTTTAAAATTTAAGAATTATCATAGAATTCACGACGTTCCGTTTGTGGTGTATGCGGACACAGAATCTTTATTGGAACACCTTTCTTACAACACGACAGAAAGTTTGGATTATTCGAGTACGAAAAAAAACATAGGAACATAAGGCGTGTAGTTTTGCATACCTGATCAAATGTTTCGACGACGAGATTTATCCACCGAAATATGTAAGTTATATACAACAGCACGAAGATGAAGACGTAATGGTAAAATTTTACGAGTTGCTGGGAAAAGATACGAAAGAAATTTACGAAAGATTTAAGGAACCTGTTCCGATTAAAATGAAACCGAATGATATCGATGATTTTGAAACGTCCGAATCATGTTATGCATGCCGCGGACCGTTTACGAAAGACAATTGGAAGGTGAAGGGACCATTGTCATTACACGGGTACGTATCGCAGCGCGGCATGTAACCGGTGTACACCGGTCTTTTTTCATAATCTGGCAGGTTACGATGCATATCATGTCGTAAAATGTTTTGGGGCAAGCGAGGGCGATATCGACTGTATCGCACAGACATCGGAAAAGTATATATCATTCACAAAAAGAGTAGCGGTTGGAACATGTACCTATGATGTGAGAGATAAGAAAGGAAATTTTATCGAGGAAAAAACGGCTAACATTTATCGTAATTTACGGTTCCTGGATTCGTACAAATTCTTGTCATCCTCGTTAGGAACTCTTGCGGAAGATTTAGAAGCGGATGATTTTAAGTTGACGGATAAGATGATGGGAAATTACACGGATCAACGTCAAATGTTAAAACGAAAAGGTGTCTATCCGTACGAATGGATGGATAATTTCCAGAAATTTTCCGAACCATCTCTTCCACCACAAAAAGAATTTTACAGTAGTTTAACGGACGAAGATATCACCAACGAAGATTACAACCATGCACAAAAAGTATGGAAGTCGTTCGATATGAAAACCATGCGTGATTATCACGATCTTTATCTAAAAGTGGACGTGTTATTATTGGCAGACATCATGGAAAGATTCCGCGAGATCTGTATGGAGAATTACAGGTTGGATCCTGCATGGTATTATACGTCGCCCGGATTGGCATGGGATGCATGTTTGAAAGTCATATGCACGTGATTTATACCGAACGTTTAGTAAAAACAGCACTTTCGACCAATGACGACAAACGGTATATTTTAGACGATAAAATTCATACGTTGGCGTTAGGTCACAAAGACATTCCCGAAGCCGATCGTACATTATCCAGGATCAACTTGGAATACAATGGATCCTGTGAATTTACTTCTGACTTGGAATTAAAAGGATCCTGTGAATTTACTTCTGACCTGGAAGAACCTGAAAAAGTATCTGTCGAAGAAAAAGGGATGGAACTTTACATTCCCCCTGCTATCGCGGAAGCAGAGGGAGTAATAGGTCTTGCCCGCGATAGGATTGTACAGAAAGCATCGGAAGGAAACTGTTGTATATCCTAGTGTCTTTTTATAAAATCTTACGAGTAAGTCTTGGTAACAACTTTCAACAAAATTCAAGACTGTTCTTAAATTTCTTGCAGGTAAGTCTTGGTAAGAACTTATAACAGAATCCAAGACTGTTCTTAAATTTCTTGCAAGTAAGTCTTGATAAGAACTTATAACAAAATCCAAGATTGTCTTGTAAGATTTCACGAGGAAAATCCCAGTAAATTCTATGTTCGTCCTACAGTTCCTCACAAGTAAAATTTAAACAAAGTTCAACAAAATTAAAGTATTTTCTTTCCATACAATAAAGAAAATGACAGAAGTAAATCCAGAATCTGTTCCAATTACCAAACCCTTAGACCCTCCAAAAAAAGTAAAAGATCCGCGTCGTGTCGAAGCGGGAAAAAGATTGGCAAAAATAAGTCAACAGGCAAAAGCTGCGAAAAAAGCAAAGACCGAAGAAAATTTAAAAGCGGAAGTTCGCGAAAGTTGTATGACAGAAAATGATGGAGGATGGATTTCCGTCGAAAGACTTTGTATGGTATTCGGACTGGGAATTGGATTAGGATCGTTGTATCTTTCATGGCAAAGTCGCGACGAGAAAAATCCTGTGAAACGGGACGATAAAATTATGTACGAGAATAACAACGATGTAGAAAAAGATCCGCCGAAAGAACCGTTCGACGACTTGTTTGACTAAAGATTTTGTTTAAATTGAAATTATCCTATGAAAGTATTTCGTAGGATAATAAAGGGAAAATGGAGATGATAGTACTAAGGAATTCTGCATTGATCGGAGACAAAGAAGTTACCACCATTTGGTCCGACGATGGTAGCGACACGTTTTACTTTGCGGCGGGTGAACTGGCAGCCGCACTCGGATACATCGAAACACGTAGCGCTGTTACCAGGCATACAAAAGAGTGGATGAGAACTACGCTTGGTAAAATCAAGGGAGGTGTGAAACACACCTCCCTTACAAACATACCCGGTGGTGTGCAACCCAACATGGTTTTTGTTACCGAACCTGGTTTATACAGTCTCGTATCCCGTTCAAAATTACCTGCTGCCAAGGATTTTCAGCGGTGGGTATTTGAAGATGTTCTTCCGTCTATCTGAAAAACGAGAACGTATACATTACCGGGTGTTTTAAACAAGGTAAAAAACATCAAGGACAGTGAATTGCAACAGCTTGGTGGTGATATCGAACAGGCAGAAGTACGTCGTGAATTAGTTCATAAAAGTGATATTGTAAAAGATCCGGAAGCAGTTTTACAAGGGTGGGTTGGCTGTACAAGAAAATATTAGACAGATGAAAGTAAAATTATGTGAGAAGGAAATGGAGTCTCTTGAACTTGAAAGGGAACGGAACGAACTTGTAGAAGAACGGGATAATATTACAGAAGAACGGAACGATCTCGAAGAACGGAATGATCTCGAAGAAGAGGCAAGAGGTCTCGTAAAAGAATTGGATGAAAGAGATGAAAAAATCCAGGAACTCGAAGAGGAGAACGAAAGACTTTGGATCGAAAATAAGAAACTTAAAGAACAATAAAATTTTTTTTTATTTCTTTCCCCAAGAAATAAAAGAGAGAATGTCTGATACTAAAAAAGAACTCGTTCAGGATTTATACGATGCTGCACTTTTAACGTCCGGAGTCGTTGGGATTTCATACGCGGCGAAAACAATTGCGGGGAAAAGTTTGGGTGCACCGATGACGTTAGAAGGAGCGATGAAACTGGGTGTGGCCGTGGCGGGAAGTTCCGTTGCCGTGGCCTATCTCAAAGACAAGGGTTACGTTCCAAAAACAATCGGTAAATAAATGACAACCAATTTAGTAGTCGGTGGATTATTCAATGCGGTCGCCTTTGCAGGCGCAGGATTTTTGTTTTCCCACTTGAATCAAAACGGGTACAAGGAAGAAGTCAAAAGGCATAATCATGCGCTGGAAGAATTAGCGACGGCCAAAGAAAAATTTTACGAATCTGAAGTCAAGAGACGAAATCAAGAATTACGACGACGGCAGGAAATTTTAGATGCGAATCATGATATCGAAGAGACGAATAAAGCGTTGGATGCATTAAGAATTTTTAACAGACGACAAGATTTGAATGCATTGGATCATAAACCAAAATTCGAGGATTATTATCAACCGTCGAATGAAATGCAAAAATATTTAACGATGACCGTTGGGATTTTAGGGGTGGGAAGTGGTTACGTATTGACGTGAATTTTTTAAATTTTTATAGAAAATTTAAAAAAACTTATGTCGTTACGAGAAAACATTTTAACGTCGTTGCCTCGGTTCGGTTTGTTGCATTTCCACACGAACTTATATTTTTATGTTCGAGACCAGAAACTATGATAACTCCACGACTGTAATCAAACGAAAAGGATGTGCGTACGAGAGCACTTCGTTGTGTGATCGCGAACATCACAACGTTGGCATTACTTGTGTCGTAAAATCCGAAAAAAGATGAGTGAGATTCGCCGCTTATTTCGAATCCGCCGACTTTAAAAAGAATGAATTTTGCCCTGTTCCGATCGGTAATAGAAATTGTTCCGGTTCTGAGAAAAAGTCCGGCCGGATATCCAGGTATTTGTCCGAGATCATACCGAACGTAATTTTTTCCAAGATCGTTAAGTTCAATAATACCGTTAACATTCTTAACGATCTCGGCCGAATTTCCCTGCTGTGTTTTTTTAATCTCCGTTACTTTTTCTTTGAGACTATTATCCTCGAAGTAATCATAACCCATTAATATACTCATTTTATTCTAACGGAATAGAAAATAAGCAACTCCCATCGATGCAACGGCTAGAATTTTCAAAGTGGATGGATTTTGTAAATTTTTATCTCTCGTAGGACTTGTTGAAGTTTTTACGGGACTTGTTGAAGTTTTCACAGGACTTTTCACGGGACTTGTTGGACTTTTCACCGGACTTGTTGGATTTTTCACGGGACTTGTTACTGAATTTTTCACGGGACTTGTTGGTTCTTTCACGGGAGACTTTGTAAAATTCACCTCGTCATTCTTTCCAAAGGTCATGCCACTTCTTGCCAACGTTAAAATATTATTGTAAGCTTTCAAAGGTTTTTGCAAAATCCGTATGTCGGACGGAATGAGAATCAGACCCGGCATGATGGCAAAATTCAAGACGATGTTCGTATCCGCGATTGCCGTACGCATGTTACAGATGATCTTCGTAATATCGTTCTGAACGATACTATCTTTTAGAACTTTTCGAAATACGTCTTGGGTCTGTAAACTTTTTGCACCTTGTCCTGTGATACTCCAACGGGTTTTGGCTTGTGCTCCAAGAACTGCATACACGTAAACTTCCAGACTCTGTTGAAATAACCGTTGTCCGATTTTTGTTAATCCTCGCGACGTTTTCGGAATGAATATTTTATAATCTTCAGTCACATTTTTCGGAAGTCTTTTTGTTAAATATTCTTACTCGATGAACGGTTCCACCGTACCGAGTTCGAACGTAATGTTGGTTCTGGATTTTTCGACGCGTATCGACGGGTAATCCGTAATACCACGTTCCGATGTTTGCATGCGACGATAATGTTCGACGTTCCCACGTTTCGGTCGTTGGCATGTATTTTCCTAAAACGTAAAGATCGTCTTCGTTTAAATAATGATCTATTAATTTTGGATCTTTCATAAATTTTTCCATCTGATAATGAACGTGGAATTTCACGATGGAGGTGATCAAATGGGAATCGGACAAAGTATTATTCAAATGATTTTCGGAAATTCCGGATTTAAAGGTCGCGATGTAACAAGCAGCCAACGATCTGAAATAAGAATTTTGATGATAGTCGAACGGGATTAAATTTACAAAATTTCCCGTTCCCACGTACTCGGGTTTCGTATATTCCAAGTCCACGGGAAAGAAATCTGTCTCCGAAACATAAATTTTAAACGTGTGGAAATTTACGGCAAAGTCTAAATTCGGACGAAATATCATATCGGACGCAACATTTCGCCATCCATCTTTCCAATATAAATATTTGGTCCATTTCGGATTTCCTAAAAATGTTTCGGACGTTATATCGTAACTGGTGAATTCGTCCACCTTGTAAAAAATTTCGGTCGAACTTAACATTCCATCTTTAACAAACGTCACGATAAATTCAAACTTGGATAATGTTGCATTGGGATATTTTCGAAGGAAATTAGTTTTAAGCTTTTGAATTTCTATCGGATATGCTTTTCGGACCTTCTCGTAATTCTTTCCGTAATAGTCACGAAAAACTTGTTCTTCCCCTTCCATCTTTTATTTCTTAGATGATATACAAATCTATCAAAGCATTGCACGGTGTAATTCCATCGATATTGGATTTTACATCGAAATGAAGTTCGTGGTAAATCCCCGCATCGGCTTGGACCTGACTTTCGATGTCGTTGTATTTCGTTGTCGTGCCGAATATTGGTTTCGTTCCGTCGATGGGAAGGGACGATATGATATTACTCGGATAGCCGTCGGGATTTATATTTTGTGATCGGTTCGCTAAATTACAACCGATCATAACGTAACGTAATCCCTCGTGTATATCCACGGGATGTTGACCCGGATGTAATTCCGAGAATGTCGTGTATCCCAACAGATTATTTAATTTCCACGGATTAAAAGATTTGACGCTTTTTCCAAATTTTATTTGAATCCGTCCGTCTGGAAAATCTTCGACGACGAGACCGTGACTTTCTAATTTCTGACGTAATTGTTTAAACTTCCAGTATCCATGTTTCAACATGACTTTTTTCTTATCGACGGAAAAATAATTATTGTATACGCGAACTGTATTTTAACGTCAACGGCGGTTACATGTCGACGAAAAAACTTTACCGAGATGCAGTGAAAGAAAATATTCCCGGTGTCATGCGTGAAAAAGTGAAAGCATGGTTACAAACACAAAATACGTACATCGTTCACAGACCGACGCGAGTTCATTTTAAAACGCAACGAACTTATGTTGATGGACTTGCCCAACAATTACAATTGGATTTGGTAGATATGCAAACGTATAGTCGTGCGAATAAAGGTTACAAATGGATTTTAACATCCATCGAAATTTTAAGTCGATATGCATTTGCCATTCCCGCCTACCGAAAAGGAACGAAAGATATGGTACCGGCCGTCGAAAAAATCTTGGACCAATTTCACGAAAGATTCGGATGTTGTCCCAAAGTCGTTCAGTTTGACGAAGGGAAAGAATTTTACAATAACGGAGTCAAGGGATTGTTGGAAAAACACGACATTCATTATTTTTCGACGCGACTGACCGGAAAAAAAGCAGCGGTCGTCGAAAGATTTAACAGGACGTTAAAAACAAGAATGTGGAAATATTTTACCGAACAACAATTTACAACAAAATCAAAAAAATGGATCGATGTCTTGGATAATTTTGTTGCCTCGTATAATCATTCAAAACATCGGACGATCGATATGAAACCTGCCGATGTGAACGAAACCAATAAAGATAAAGTCTGGACAAAACTTTACGGTTATCCCTTATCTCATTTTTCAGAACCAAAATTTAAAGTCGGAGATCGTGTCCGAGACCAAATTTACCGCGATACTTTTGTGAAAGGATACACGTCGAATTATACCGACGATGTTTACGTCGTGTCGGAAGTGTTTCGCGGTGATCCGAACATGTATAAACTCATCGATCCCGACGATGACGATCGTGAAATCAAAGGAAGATTTTACGAACACGAATTATCATTGGATCTAAGTGGTAAATAAACAATGGCCGAATATATCGAACTCGACGAGATCGGACATGATTACGATTGGGATCCGTGGGAAGGGGATGAATACGATGATATAGATTTCGGCGACGACTTGCGCGAAACGACACTGGATGATCTAGATCGTCGGAACGACGAAGTATGGTTGTCTGATTTTAAAAGACAGAATGAAGGTGAAATGAATATAGAAAAAAAGAAACCAATTCCTTGTACACGACTGGATCTTCTGTCGGTATAAAATCCGAGTATATGAAAAAACTTTTTGGGAACGACTATAAATTAAATCCGAATGACGGACCTTATTCAAAAGATTTATTTTCCAGATTAAATATCACCCGCGGATACTGGCTGTCATTTGATAATATTGATGTTGCCTTCATCGAAAAAAATGGGGAATACAAACTATCCACAAGTCAAAATGTAACTGTTACCGATAGCCAAAAAAATTTTAGATCTGCCTTTGAAAAAGCAACGGAAGAACATAAAAATAAATTTATAAGTATCGTGGAAGAAGTTCCGGAGGGAAATTTACAGATCCACGACGACATTTCTGACGACGTGCGTGATGAAATTCACGACGAAAATATCGACGATAATCTTGAATTTCACGAACGTGTTTTACAGTTTCACCAAACAGGAAGCGAGGGAATTGGTTGGAATTACCGTTCCCAAAGGTGAACCTGACGAACGAATTAAATATTTAAAGGTTGAACGTCAAAAACTGAAAATAGATTTTGATACCGAATCCGATCCCGAACGCAAGGATATCTTTCGCGAAGCGTTAGAAATTATCGATCAAAATATCGATGATGCGAGACTGGAAATGCGGGAACGTCCCGAATCCGAAGAAGGTGTGCATCGTGTTCGGGAAAAAGTTCGCGAGGATGTGAGAACGAGATTTGAGAAATTTAAAATCTGGGCCAGAGAAAATCTAGGAGTTTTATCTGCGATCGCTATTTCCATCGCGGGAATTATTACGACCGTCGCCGGAAAAAAGATGCTGGTCGGTGCTGCAAAAGGGGTGGGCGAAGTTGGAAAAGCGCTGGGTAAAATTGCGAAAGCTGCACTTCCCGTTATCGTTCCCATCTTGAATATGTTAGCGACCATTCTGAAATGGGGAGCAAAAGGAATAGAATTTCTTGCGAAAAATTTATGGATCCTTGCCATTCTCATCGCCGGATACCTGTACAATTATTTCACAAAAAGAAACAAGTAAATTTTTTATTTCATTCCCATGAAATAAAGAATGGAAACACGTACGCAAGAACTTAGTCCTAGTTTTAGTCGTCGATCTAGGACGGAACTAACAGGAAACCGAACGAGACATCTGATCACGTTCAATCCAAATTCAGCGAAACCCGGGGAAGATATCTATGTGAATATTCCAAAACTCAAACCGGATTCTGTTCTCGTTCCAGATAGTATGGCCTTAATCTTTGACTTTAAGAATGCCAATGAAAAATCATGGTTCCGAAATAACTTGGGAAAATTATTACAGAAAAGATTAGAAATTCGTCTTGCCGGTGAAAAAGTTTACGATAACAGCGGTGAAAGTTTATTGGAAATTTACAAAGACTTGTGGATGGATGAAAAACAACGCGCGGATATGATCCAGGACGGAATTACGACCGAAGCCGTTCGTAAGAAAATCTCCAAAGACGACGAGGCGAATGCCGACGCTGATCCCACCGCATTGTTTGGAATTTTCGGAAAGAAACAACGGTTGAAGATTACGAAGATTTTAGGCGATCACGGACTGTACGCTCCGTATCATTCCGCCAACGATCTTCAGTATGTGATCACGTTACCACAAGCGCCGGAAATCATGAATGCACAAAGCGGAGAAACCGTCGAAGGGTATTCCTTGGAAAATTTAGAATTGGAATACGAATCTATCGAAAATATAAATCTTGCACGAAAATCCGAAAATCTCTACGGTGCCGAACGCGAATTATCTTTCGAACATGCCACGTTGATGAAAAAGACCGAATGGGATAAAAGTTTGACGATCGTTAACGAAACCGTCAATCTTCCACGACGAAGTATGAAAGCCATCGTCATGCTATTCACGGAAAAAACGCCGACCGATAGCGAAGAATATGTCTTTCCGAATATCGACAAAGTCAAAGTGACGATCGAAGGTGTTCCAAACGTCGTGTACAGTCAGGGCATATCGAAGACGCGAATGTACGAAGAAGCCAAACGTCTTTTTGGAACCGATGTCAACGGACAACAATCCCTGATTAAATTTTACAAAGATAAAAAATTTGCATTGGTCATCGACTTGCCGACGGCTAACGATGCAAAAACGTATGGAAACGGAGTCAAAATTCAAAATACACAATCTGGAATCCTCATCGAAATTACGAAAAAAGCAACGACCGCCAACGTTCTCTGTTACACGTTCGTTCTTTCGGACGGCGTGATTAAAATGGTAAACGGACAATTAAGTGGCGTGCGATATTAAACTATATCATGAATCACGATATTGTCTCCTTTTTTCATATTTTTTCACGAAAATATGAAAATGATCCCTATTCCGTTTTTTCATCCTCCTCTTTCACGTCTTCCGTTCCCTTCCTTCCGTACACGTGTTTCACCGTCGTCACGCCGCCACTTAAAATCCCTAAATATGGAATGTACGGCGATATTTTTTCAACAAGACTTTTCACGTCGCTTTTTAATAATTTGTCCTGACCTAATTCCTTTTAATTCTTCGCCGCTATCGATCATGCGAAGATTTTCCAACAATCCCGAAAATTTTTCGATCAATGTTTCCGTAAGAAGAACGTTGGCTTTTTCACGTTGATTCAGAGTGTATTCCCGTTTGATTTTAAAAATGACTTTGGGTGTTGCCTTTTTCAAATAATTCTCGGATTGACTAATTTCACCCGCGTTCGATAACCGAATTAATTCGGCTCGCGTATCTTTGAAGATTTCTTGTTCCGTCCTTTCATGTGTTGTATTCTCTTCCCCTTCCATTACTTGTACTTTACTTTATAATGATACGGATGAATTAAATTTATTTCCAAGTACGAATATTTATTCTCTTTTACTTTCTCGCGGACAGATCTTAATTTCTGTGGATCTTCGTCACCCAGATATTCGTCCAGGATAATTTTCATGTCCTGTCTGTTTGGATTGTAAAACGTCACCAGTTTCTGAATATTTTCGCGATACGGTTTAGCAATCGACGTCAACTGCTGCGTAATCACGATCGTTGAAATCTGATGATGACGTGTGCCGAATCCTAATTTCACCAATTCGCTCGTACGATTCTTGACGGATTTCGTACTCGCACAATCATCTAAAATAATTAACGCATCTTTTCCGGATGCATAATTCACGACGGATTTCATCGAATCTTCCACGTCGTCGTGACGACACTGAACGACAAAGAAGTTGGGATCGTTGTAAATAAAATCTTGCTCGTACGTTTCATTCCAATGATACGTTGGACAAATTAAAAAGATTTCGGAAAATTGACGAAAATATGTCGTCTTTAATTCTTCGATCAGATAATGTGTTTTTCCACACACCGTCATTCCCACGATGATCATATTAAACGGTTTCATTTAATTAAAAGATGGAATGCCTTTCTTCAAAATCCGAAAGTGTTGTTAAACATAATAAAAACCACAAGAGACGAAAAATGTTTAGTTTAGGATTCGGATTCGATCGCGGAGATGCAACGACCAGCATTCATACGCAGATCGGATACGTCAGTACGACCGTTAAAAATTATGATGGAATAAATGAAATTACTCCTGTGGAGAATGTTACTGTGGACGAGTCTAATCAGTTGTCTCCTGATCCTGATCACGTTCGAACTGTTGCTGATTCTAATCATCTTGAATAAATTTTAATTCTTATAAAATTAAAATTCTCACGCAGACGGTGTATAAACCGGTAATTCATATTTTTTCTTTCTCGCGACACATTTTTATCAACTTTGTACATACGAATAACAAGATGGATAATGCAGACGATGCACAGATGGCACACGTCGCATATAAAACGTCGGCTTCTCTTTCCATTAATTTTACATTCGGAATTTCCGTTTCGTTGCTGCTCATTAATTTCATCGCAGAATAAAGTACTGTTGTTGCTGGATTCATTCTTTTATTTAATGGAATTTTTAATGTTTTTTTTCATTAAAAATTAATTTCAATCTCGTAAAAGTCTTTTTCTCGGAACCTTTGGTTTTTCTTCCAGAATACTGGCTTCGTATAATTTGACCTGAATACAGGTCGTACTTCCGGATATAAAGATTCCATCGATTGGAACGATCGCATCGAGACGAAATCTCTTCTCCAAATATTTTCCAGGATCGATGGGATCGTCTCCCTCCGTTTCGTCATCGATCTTCGGATACAAGACCGGAGTGTTACCTTTTCGATAATGACATTTCATTATCTTCTCCCCGGGTTTACCGATATGTTTGGCACATTCTTTTTCAATTAATTCCAAAACGGATACAAACCCGGACTTTTCCCAGAGGGATAGGGAAAGATTTTCCTTACCGTACTTGTTGTTCTTACTCACTCCGTAAGATAAGCAATCCGTAACCTTTAACAAAAGAGGACCTTGATCGCATGCCGTTAATTTAATCTTTTTAGACCCGTACCTGTTCGCGACGGCATCTTCGAAACCGAACGAGTCCTTGGTGAAGTCCGAGACTTTGGTGATTGACATTTTCCTTTATTATAGATTTTTTTATTCATATAAGGTGTTACGGGTTCACTCAGGTAACGAATCCCAGGAAAGTCTTGGGGATGATCTTGGGAAAGTCTTGGGAACGAATCCTGGAAAGTCTTGGAAAAGTCTTGGGAAATCTTGGGGACGATCTTGGAAAGGTCCCGGGGACGAATCTTTGGAAAATCTTGGGAAAGTCTTGGGAAAGTCTTGGGGACGAATCCTGGAAAGTCTTGGGAACGAATCTTTGGAAAATCACGGGAAAGTCTTGGGGACGAATCCTGGAAAGTCTTGGGGATGGGATTAAAGGGGCTAAAGGGCTGAAGACACTATATTTTGTATTACATGAAGTTTGTCCTCGTAGCCCCTCATTGACACTACTCCCGTAGTTGAGTGTCAGTTCGTAATTGGGACAAAGAGAAGGTGGAGGTTTGATGTTGATTGGGTCTTGGAGGTTGAAAGACAGAGGAGAAACAAGAGTTGAAAAGTTCAGCTTTTGTCTGAAGGTGTTTTTGCCAGTTTGCCCTTGTAGGAAATTGCTGGAGTATGAGTTGATACACGTGTTTCACCGTCGTCACGCCGCCACTTAAAATCCCTAAATATGGAATGTACGGCGATATTTTTTCAACAAGACTTTTCACGTCGCTTTTTAATAATTTGTCCTGACCTAATTCCTTTTAATTCTTCGCCGCTATCGATCATGCGAAGATTTTCCAACAATCCCGAAAATTTTTCGATCAATGTTTCCGTAAGAAGAACGTTGGCTTTTTCACGTTGATTCAGAGTGTATTCCCGTTTGATTTTAAAAATGACTTTGGGTGTTGCCTTTTTCAAATAATTCTCGGATTGACTAATTTCACCCGCGTTCGATAACCGAATTAATTCGGCTCGCGTATCTTTGAAGATTTCTTGTTCCGTCCTTTCATGTGTTGTATTCTCTTCCCCTTCCATTACTTGTACTTTACTTTATAATGATACGGATGAATTAAATTTATTTCCAAGTACGAATATTTATTCTCTTTTACTTTCTCGCGGACAGATCTTAATTTCTGTGGATCTTCGTCACCCAGATATTCGTCCAGGATAATTTTCATGTCCTGTCTGTTTGGATTGTAAAACGTCACCAGTTTCTGAATATTTTCGCGATACGGTTTAGCAATCGACGTCAACTGCTGCGTAATCACGATCGTTGAAATCTGATGATGACGTGTGCCGAATCCTAATTTCACCAATTCGCTCGTACGATTCTTGACGGATTTCGTACTCGCACAATCATCTAAAATAATTAACGCATCTTTTCCGGATGCATAATTCACGACGGATTTCATCGAATCTTCCACGTCGTCGTGACGACACTGAACGACAAAGAAGTTGGGATCGTTGTAAATAAAATCTTGCTCGTACGTTTCATTCCAATGATACGTTGGACAAATTAAAAAGATTTCGGAAAATTGACGAAAATATGTCGTCTTTAATTCTTCGATCAGATAATGTGTTTTTCCACACA